TGTACCAGGATCAGGCAAGAAATTTGAAGAAGTGAATGGCAACTTTAAGCACTGCATGCAGAAAGTAAGCTAAAATCCTTCCTCTCTGAAGGATGTATTTGATAGAATGAATTTGCAAAAATTATACAAAACTTGCTGAAAGTAGCACTGAAGCTGACGGAAAGACTGCTTTCCTCTGGGTGAGGATTCTGGGGAAATAGTATCTAAACCATTAGAATATTCCTTGTAAAAGGGTAGTTTTGCTGAATCAGGAAAGACATGTATTTTTTTGTTCTGGTCTATATGCTTGTGGAAACTACAAAAAGATGGGGGGAAAAGCCTTCTTAAAAATACAGACAAATATATTTACTTATATCTTACGTTTCTACTTGCTTCCTCTGGTAGTCTTAAAATTGCTTATCTGTTATTGAAGTCAGTTTGGAAGGCAGGGCAGATCAGTTCTTTTGCTCTTCAAACTATTTAAAATCCCCAATAGGGAAAAACAAACCCCAAACCAAAAAAAAAAATCTCTCCCTTACTACAGGCTCTGATACTGTCTGTTTATGTTGCAGTGGGATAAGTGAACCACATAGGAGTTCAGAGAGGGGTTTGTACTGGCAATTTTGTTTTTTTAAAAGGTGTGATTAAAAAAAATCCAATCTGTCTCATGCTCTGCTCTTATATGAGGTTGCGTGTGTGCATTTGTATATACTCTGCTGGTATTTTCCAATTGTGTTGGCCAAATTCTGCTTTTAGTTATGGTTAGGCATCTCTCCTGACTTTGGTGGTGTCATATGAGCCTGACATTTTTTGACCAGACGTGAAGGCCCCCCTGCTCAAAGAGAATGCATATGAAATATATCAGCCTTTCTTCTGCTGGCTGGTTATTTAAACATGGGTAACTGAATTATTGTGAAACAAATTCTGGGTCTGCAGCTGCAAAAGCAGTAATACAGTATATTCGTAGTGATGTTTCTACGCCATACCTCCTAATTTCCCAGCTGATTTCCAGTGCAGACAGAAAGTCTAGAATGCATGTGGTATGTTCCTCATCATATATTTTATAAATGTAAAATAATGATTTGTCAATTACTGTTTCTATTATAGACATAAAATTAGATATTTCAGCCTCTCATGATTTCTTGAAGACCTCTTACGTTTGGCTGTATTGAATGGTACTGGCTAGGGGCATCATGGGGCAGTGAGATGTGAAGTTGCTTTTGGTAATGTCTCTGAAACCCAGGCTGTGCGGTGAATATTGGTACACTGTGTGATTTTTCTAGCCAATGTTGGTTTATGTCGTGTTGTCTTTCCCAGCAACCCCGCTTTCTCAAATGGTAATTGAACAGCAGTAGTCAAAATACTCAGCTGACGGAGAACCCCTGAACACTCCATGGGCAATTATTCAAACACTTTCTGAACCAGTTTGACCCATTGCTGATTTTTTCCAGATCCGTTGCGAGGAATTTAAAATATGCAAA